TTCCTCCCAGTCCCTCCCACTTCATCCCAGTATGATCCAGTCCTCTCCCAGTCCGTCCCAGTTCCTCCCAGTCCATCCGAGTTTATCCCAGTTTTCTCCTAGTCCATCCCAGTTCCCTCCCAGTTCATCCCAGATCCTTCCCAGTTCATCCCAGTATAAATCAGTTCCCTCCCAGTTCCCTCCCAGTTCATCCCAGTCCCTCCCAGTATAAACCAGTTCCATCCCAGTTCTTCCCAGTCCCCTTGAAGTCTCTCCCAGTGCTCCCAGTGTGGCTCAAACTGGTCCCAGTTCATCCCAGTCCCTCCCAGTTCCCTCCCAGTCCATCCCAGTCCCTCCCAGTCCATTCCAGTATGGCTCAGATCATTCCCAGTTCATCCCAGTATCAACCAGTCCCCTCCCAGTTCCCTCCCAGTCTCTCCCAGTTTACTCTCACTCCGTCCCAGTTCCCTCCCAGTCCAACCCAGTCTCCCCAAGTCCCCTCCCAGTCCATCCCAGTTCCCTCCCAGTTTACCCCAGTTCATTCCAGTCCCTCCCAGTCCATCCCAGTTCCCTCCCAGTTCATCCCAGTTCATCCCAGTCCCTCCCTCCACCATCGCCCCTTTAAGCCTTGTCCCCCCCCATATAAAGCCGCTTCAAGACCATAGACGAGTCCTCCGGGCCGCCCAGCGCGCCGCCTTTAGCCCCGCCCACTTCCGGCGGCGCTCCATCCCTCACTTCCCGTTCTCTATGACCCCAAAAATGACGGCGCCCGCTGCCGGAGCTCCAGAAGTGCCAAAAAAATGCCCCAAATCTGCCCGAAATGTCCCCAAAATGTCCCCAGATGTGCTCCAGGTGTGCCCCAGGTGTGCCCAGGTGTGTTTTTTGCGACGCAGGTGGAGCGGATCAAGGAGCGCGTGGAGGAGAAGGAAGGGATCCCCCCCCAGCAGCAGCGGCTGATCTACAGCGGGAAGCAAATGTGGGCGGGGCTTAAGGATTAGGGCGGGGCTTCAGTGGGGGCGTGGCCTCGGGAAAAACTATGAGGGAAAGGGGGCGTGGCCTCGGGAGGAGGCGTGGCCTGAGAGGGGCTAGGGGAAGGGGGCGGGGCTTAAGAGGGGAGGGTTTGGGGGAATTTTGGGTTAAAAATTGAGGATTTTGGGGTAGAAATTGAGGGGTTTTGGGTAGAAATGGTGGAATTTTGGGGAAATTGGGAATTTTTGGCGAAAGATTTGGAAGTTTTGGGTAAAAATGGGGAAATTTGGGTGAAAAATGGGGAAAACTTTGGGTAAAAAATGGAAATTTTGGGTGAAAAATTGGGGAATTTGGGGCAAAAATGGGGAATTTTGGCTTAAAAATTGAGGATTTTTGGGTAAAAATGTGAAATTTGGGTGGGAAATTGGGAATTTTGGGTGAAAAATGGGGAAATTAGGGGTAAATTTGGGAATTTTGGATAAAACTGGGGAACTTTTGGGGTAAAAATGGGGAAATTTGGACTAAAAATGGGGAATTTTGGGTAAAAATGGGGAAATTTGGGTTAAAATTTGGGAATTTGGGGTGAAAAAACGAGGATTTTGGGGTAAAAATGGGGAAATTTGGGAGAAATTGGGAATTTCAGGTGAAAAATTTGGGAGTTTTGGGTAAAAATGTGGAAATTTGGGGTAAAAATGGGGAAATTTGGGTAGAAAAAGGAGAAATTTGAATTAAAAATGAGGAAATTTGGGTGGGAAATTGAGAATTTGGGGTAAAAATGGGGAAATTTGGGTGAAAAATGGGGAATTTTGGACGAAAATGGAGGAATTTTGTGAAAAAAACAGGGAAATTTGGGGGAAATTGGGAATTTTGGGTGAAAATTTTGGGAATTTTGTGTAAAATGGGGAAATTTATGTAAAAAATGGTGAAAATTGGGGGAAATTGGGAATTTTGGGTGAAAATTTTGGGAATTTTGGGTAAAAATGATGAAATTTGGGTGGAAAATGGGGAAATTTGCGGGAAATTTGGAATTTCGAGCGAAAAATTTGGGAGTTTTGGGTAAAAATGAGGAAATTTTGGTGAAAATGGGAAAATTTGGTAAAAAATGGGGAAATTTGGGTGGAAAAAGAAGGAATTTGGGGTAAAAAGGGAAATTTGGGGGAAACTGGGAATTTTTGGGTAAAAATGGGGAAATTTGAAAAATTGTGGAAATTTTGGGGAAATTGGGAATTTTGGGTAAAAATGGGGAAATTTGAGTGAAAAATTGGGGAAATTTTGGAGAAATTGGGGATTTTGGGTGAAAAAATTGGGAAATTTGGGTAAAAATGGGGAAATTTGAGTGAAAAATTGGGGAAATTTTGGGAAAATTGGGGATTTTGGGTAAAAAAATTGAGAATTTTGGGTAAAGATGGGGAAATTTGAGTGAAAAATTGGGGAAATTTTGGGAAAATTGGCGATTTGGGGTAAAAAAATTGGGAATTTTGGGTAAAAATGGGGAAATTTGAGTCAAAAATTGGGGAAATTTTGAGGAAATTGGGAATTTTGGGTGAAAAATTTTGGAATTTTGGGGTAAAAATGGGGAAATTTGGGTAAAATTTGTGTTAAAAAATGACGAAACTTGAGGAAATTGGGAATTTTGGGTGAAAAATTTTGGAATTTTGGGGTAAAAATGGGGAAATTTGGGTAAAATTTGTGTTAAAAAATGACGAAACTTGAGGGAAATTTTTGGTGTCCAAAGATGAATTTGGGCTCAAAATTTGGGGTAAACCCGGGATTTAACGAGGTGGGCGTGGCTTAATGGTGAGCCGAGTGGGTGTGGCTTGTTGGGGGCGTGGCTTGTTCAGTAAGTGGGCGTGGCCAAAGTGGGCGTGGCCTCTCTGACCCCTCCCCCTCCCTCAGGAACGATGAGAAGACAGCGGCCGACTACAAAATCCAGGGGGGCTCCGTCCTCCATCTTGTCCTGGCCCTGCGGGGGGGCGTGGCCAGGCCCTGATGGGGGGAAAAAGGGGGCGTGGCCACTCCCAGACCACGCCCACTCCCTTTTAAACCACGCCCACCCTTCATTTCCTTCTCCCCCTGAGCTCCTTTCCCGCCGGTGACTCCGTTATTATTTAATAAAGGTTCGCTGATGACGTCAGCAGCGCGTCGATGACGTCACACGCGTCTCCGTGATGTCATTTCCTGCTTCAAAACCGCCCGGCGGGCCCCACTTATATCCGGCATTACCCTTTTAAGGCGGCGTTGCCCTTTTAAGAGCGTTGCCCCTTTAAGGGCGTTGTGGCCTCCCCCACCCCCTCAGGGCGGCGTTGCCCTTTTAAGAGCTTTAACTTAAAACCCCATTTTTAGCCCCAAAATGTTCATTTTTAGCCCCAAAAAGCGCCGATTTTGCCCCCAAAACCTCAACCTCGCAACGAAATTCTTCTTTTTAACCCCTCAGATGCTTAAAATCCTGAGTTTTACCCCAGAAATTCCAAATTTTGAGGAGCGAAATGACCCCGAATCGCTTGGTTTTGCCCCAAAATCAACACTCCGATCCCTAAGCGACCGTTTATGCCCCGAGTCGATCCTTTCATCCCCAAAATCACCATTTTTAGCCCCAAAATCACCGCTTTCAACCCTTTTGTTCACAAAACCTCCCAAAATTTACCCAAAACCGCCATTTTTCACCCCAAACCACCCTTTGCACCCCCAAACCGACAATTTCACCCCTCAATAGCCACTCTCAAGCGCCAAATTCCAACTTTTAACCCCAAATTCGCCTTTTTTAGCCTCCAAAACGAGCGATTTTTGCCCAAATTCCTCATTTTTAGCCCCAAAATCGCCGCTTTTAACCCCAAATTTTCCTCTCGTCGTCATCGCCCCTTTAAGAGCGGTCCCCACCACCCTATCGCCGCTTTAAGACCATAGAGAAGTCCTCCCAGCCGGGTAGCGCGCCGCTTAGCCCCGCCCACTTCCGGCGGCGCTGCGCTTCACTTCCGCGTTCTCGCCGTTCAAAAATGGCGGCGTCCACGCTGGAGCGGCTCCTAACGGAGCTTTTGGAACCGGACAGCGCCGGGATTCGCCAGGTACCGGGAATTCGGGAAAATCTGGGAATTCTTCGGTATTCCAAAGGATTTCGGTGAAGGTTTGGGGGGTTTTTTGTTGTCTCCAGGCCACGGCGAGGCTGCGGGAGGTGCTGGAGGAGCCTGAGGGGAGCGAAGGCCTCGCGGTGCTGCTGAGGGAGGCGGAGAGGCCGCAGGTGTGAGGGGATTTGGGCGGTAAATTGGGGGATTCTGAGGGAATTTGGGAATTCTGAGGGGAATTCGGGAATTCTGAGGGGAATTCGGGAATTCTGAGGGAAATTTGGGAATTCCGAGGGAAATTTGGGAATTCTGAGGGGAATTTGGGAATTCCGAGGGAAATTTGGGAATTCTGAGGGGAATTTGGGAATTCCGAGGGAAATTTGGGGATTCTGAGGAAAATTCGGGGGAATTCTGAGGGAATTTTGGGGAAATTTGAGGGAAATTTGGGAATTCTGAGGGAAATTTTGGGGATTCTGAGGGGAATTTGGGAATTCTGAGGGAATTCTGAGGGAATTTTGAGGGAATTTTGGGTTTGAAGAGGGAATTTTGGGGATTCTGAAGGGAATTTTAGGGATCCTGAGGGGATTTGGGCGGGAAATTGGGGGATTCTGAGGGAAATTTTGGGGATTTTGAGGGGAATTTGGGGAATTCTGAGGGGATTTTGGGATTTGGGAGGGAATTTTGGGGATTCTGAGGAGAATTTGGGGGAATTCTGAGGGAATTTTTGGGATCCTGAGGGAGATTTGGGAATTCTGAGGGAATTCTGAGGAGAATTTGGGGATTCTGAGGAGAATTTTGGGAAATTTGGGAATTCTGAGGGAATTTCTTGTTTCCGGGCGGATTTTGGGATGATTTTTGAGGGGATTTTGGGATTCCTACTTGGATTTTTGGGACTTTCGGGTGGATTTTGGGGAATTTTGGGTGGATTTTGGGGAATTTCGGGTGGATTTTGGGGAATTTCGGGTGGATTTTGGGGAATTTTGGGTGGATTTTTGGGAATTTCGGGTGGATTTTGGGAATTTCGGGTGGATTTTGGGAATTTTGGGTGGATTTTGGGGGAATTTTGGGGTGAATTTCGGGTGTTTTGGGTCCCAGGTCCGAAATTTGGCCGCGGTTTTGCTCCGGAGGCTCCTCCGGAAACTCCCACAGGAATTGATTGACAGGTGGGCGGGGCCTGGAGCCCCATTAAAGTCAATGGGAGGGGGCGTGGTTTAGACCCCATTGAAGTCTATGGAAGGGGGCGTGGTTTAGGCCCCATTGAAATCAATGGGAGGGGGCGTGGTTTAGGCCCCATTTGTGTCAATGGGAGGGGGCGTGGCTTAAGTGCCATTGAAGTAAATGGGAGGGGCGTGGCTTAGGCCCCATTAAAGTCTATGGAAGGAGGTGTGGTTTATGCCCCATTGAAGTCTATTTGAGGGGGCGTGGCTTAAGCCCCATGGAAATCAATGGGAGGGGGCGTGGTTTAGGCCCCATTTGAATCAATGGGAGGGGGCGTGGCTTAAGTGCCATTGAAGTCTATGGAAGCGGGCGTGGTTTAGGCCCCATTGAAATCAATGGGAGGGGGCGTGGTTTAGGCCCCATTGAAATCAATGGGAGGGGGCGTGGTTTAGGCCCCATTGAAGTCTATGGAAGCGGGCGTGGTTTAGGCCTCATTGAAATCAATGGGAGGGGGCGTGGCTTAGGCCCCATTGAAATCAATGGGAGGGGGCGTGGTTTAGGCCCCATGGAAATCAATGGGAGGGGGCGTGGTTTAGGCCCCATTGGAGTGAATGGGAGGGGGCGTGGCTTAGAATTAAAGTCAATGGGAGGGGGCGTGGCTTATCCTCCATGGGAGTTAATTGGTGGTAACAAAGCTTAATTAAAAATGTTAATTAAGAAGGGGTGGAGCTAATTTGAGTGATTAATTGGGGACTGGGAGTAGCTCAAAGTGGGCGTGGCCTCAGGTTAATTAAACAGCGGGAGGGGCTTGATTAGCAGCGTTAATTAGAGAGGGGGAGGAGCTTAAAGCGCAAAAGGGGTGGGGTTTGACAATATATGGTAATGAGGGGGCGGGGCTAATCGTGGCCACGCCCCCTCCAGGCTCCCCCATCTCGTGGTCGAGGCCCTGGAGCGGGAAACGGAGTGAGTGAAAATTCCCCAAAATTTTAATTTTTAACCCCAAAATTCCCCAAATTTGGGTTTTTTTGGGAGAGAAATTCGGGGGTGGGGAAAAAATGGGAATTTTTGGGGGGAAAAATGGGAATTTTGGGGAAAATCTGGGGTTTTTTGGGGGGAAATTTGGGGTTTTGGGGGGAAAAAATGGGAATTTTGGGGAAAAATGGGAATTTTGGGAGGGAAAATTTGGGGTTTTTTGGGGGGAAATTGGGAATTCTTGGGGGAAAAATGGGAATTTTGGGGAAAAAATCGAATTTTTTGGGGGAAATTTGGAATCTTTGGGAAAAAATGTGAATTTTGGGGGAAAATTTGGGGTTTTTTGGGGGGAAATTGGGAATTTGGGGGAAAAATTGGGAATTTTGGGGAAGAAATCGAATTTTTGGGGGGAAATTGGGAATTTTTGGGAAAATTTGGGGGTTTTTGGGGTGAAAAATGTGAATTTTGGGGGAAAAATTTGGGGTTTTTTTGGTGAAAAATGGGAATTTTGGGGAAAAAATCGAATTTTTGGGGGGAAATTGGGAATCTTTGGGAAAAAATGTGAATTTTGGGGGAAAATTTGGGGTTTTTTGGGGGAAATCGGGAATTTTGGGGGGAAAAATGGGAGTTTTGGGGAAAAAAGTGGGAATTTTGGGTTTTTTTGGGGGGAAAATCAAGAATTTTTGGAAAAAACTGGGAATTTTGGGGGAAAATTTGGGGTTTTGTGGGGAAAAATGGGAATTTCGGGGAAAAAATGTGAATTTTGGGGGAAAATTTGGGGGTTTTTTTGGAAAATTTGGGGTTTTTTGGGGGAAATAGGGAATTTTGGGGTAAAAAATGGGAATTTTGGGGGGAAAAATGGGAATTTTGGGGAAGAAATCAAATTTTTGGGGGGGAAATTGGGAATTTTGGGGGAAAAATGGGAATTTTTTGGGGAAAATTTGGAATCTTTGGGAAAAAATGTGAATTTTGGGGGAAAATTTGGGTTTTTTTGGGAAAATTTGGGGTTTTTTGGGGGAAATTGGGAATTTTGGGGAAAAGAATGGGAATTTTGGGTTTTTTTGGGGGAAAACCAGTAATTTTTGGAAAAAACTGGGAATTTTGGGGGAAAATTTGGGGTTTTTTTGGGAAAATTTGGGTTTTTTGGGGGGAAATTGGGAATTTTGGGAAAAAACTGGGAATTTTTGGGTAAAATTTGGGAATTTAGGGTGAAAATGGGAATTTTGTGGGGGGAAAAAAGAGGATTTGGGGTGAAAAATGGGCAAATTGGGGGGAAAATGGGAGTTTTTCAATAAAAAATGGGGATTTTAGCACAAAAATTGGGGATTTTTGGCCCAAAAATTGGGAATTCTGGGGTAAAAAATGAGGATTTTGGGGTAAAAAATGAGAATTTTCAGAAAAAAGGGGGATTTTGGTGGAAAATTGGGAATTTTTGGGGGATAAAAGTGGGATTTTGGGAGAATAATGGGTATTTTGAGGCAAAAAATGGGAATTTTGGGGCAAAAAATGGGAATTCTGGGGTAAAAAATGGGAATTTTGGGGGTTAAAAATGAGGATTTTCTGAAAAAAAGGGGGAATTTCGTGGAAAATTGGGAATTTTTTTGGGGAAAAAAGGGGATTTTGGGGCAAAAAATGGGGATTTTGGGGCAAAAAACGAGAATTTTAAGGTTAAAAATGAGGATTTTGTGGAAAAAACTGGGAATTTTGAAATAACAGGGAGATTTTAGCCCAAAAATCGGGATTTTAATGCCAAAAAAATCAATTTCAGGTGGGAAAAATTGAAATTTTGGGGGTAAAAAGCTGAAATTTTGCCTTAAAAATTCATTTTTTTGGGTAAAAAATGGGGTTTTTTTGTTAAAAAAAGGGTTTTTTTCCTGGTAAAAATGGGGATTTTGGGGAATTTTGGGAATTTTGGGGTTTTTTGGTTTCCAGCTCGTCCAGCAGAGGGTCCCTGGCTCAGCTGGGGGCGAGGCTGCTGCTCCTGGGGGGTCCCCAAATGTGGGAACCGATGGAAAAATGGATCCAGGAAGCGGCAAAAGATCCCAAAAAAACGGAGGTGAGAGCTTTAAAAAAAATGGGAATTTTGGGGAAATTTAAATTAAAAAAAAATAGCAGAAATTTTATAAATATTAAAAAAAAATCTGGTGGATATCGGGAAAAAATCCTCCCTAAAAATGCTCAAAAAATCAAAAAAAAATGAAAAAAAATTCCTAAAAAATTCCAGAAAACCACAAAAAAATCCTAAAAAAAATCACAAAAAAACTCCAAAAAAATTTAAAAAAATTCCTAAAAAATTCCCAAAAAACCTTCAAAAAATTCCTAAAAAAATCCCTAAAAAACTCCAAAAAACCCTAAAAAAAATCACAAAAAAATTCCAAAATATCCAGAAAAAATTCCTAAAAAACCACAAAAAAAATAAAAAAAATTCCTAAAAAAAATCAAAAAAAACTCCAAAAAAATGCTAAAAAATCACAAAAAACCACCAAAAAATCCCCCCCAAAAATGCCCAAAAAACTCCAAAAAAATTAAAAAACATTCCTAAAAAAATTCCAAAAAACTGCAAAAAAATTCCTAAGAAAATCACCAAAAAACCACCAAAAAATTCCTAAAAAAATCACCAAAAACTCCAAAAAAATCCTAAAAAAATCTCCAAAAACTTCCTAAAAAATCCCAAAAAACTCCAAAAAAATCCTAAAAAAAATCACAAAAAAACTCCTAAAAAATCACCAAAAAACACCAAAAAATTCCTAAAAAAAATCACCAAAAAATACCTCAAAAAAATTAAAAAAAATCCTAAAAAATTCCAAAAAACTCCAAAAAGATCCGAAAAAAATCACAAAAAAACCACAAAAAAATCCCCCCAAAAATCACCAAAAAAGTCCAAAAAAATTTTAAAAAAATTCCTAAAAAATTCCAAAAAACTCCAAAAAAATTCCTAAAAAAATCATAAAAGAACCACAAAAAAATTCCTAAAAAAAAATCACCAAAAAACTCCAAAAAAATTAAAAAAAATTCCTAAAAAATTCCAGAAAACTGCAAAAAAACTCTAAAAAAATCACAAAAAACCCACAAAAAAAATCCCCCCAAAAATCACAAAAAAACTCCAAAAAAATTAAAAAAAATTCCTAAAAAATTCCAAAAAACCTTCAAAAAAATCCTAAAAAAGTCATTAAAAAAACACCAAAAAATCCCCCAAAAAGTGCCCAAAAAACTCCAAAAAAAATGAAAAAAAATTCCTAAAAAATTCCCAAAAAACTCCAAAAAATCCCTAAAAAAATGCACAAAAAACTCCAAAAAAATTAAAAAAAATTCCTAAAAAATTCCAAAAAACCTTCAAAAAATTCCTAAAAAAATCACAAAAAAACCACCAAAAAATTCCTAAAAAAAATCACCAAAAAACTAAAAAAATCCAGAAAAAATTCCAAAAAACTCCAAAAAAATCCTAAAAAAATCACAAAAAACCGACAAAAAATTCCTAAAAAAAATCCCAAAAACCTCCAAAAATATTTTAAAAAAATTTCTAAAAAATCCCAAAAAACTCCAAAAAAATCCTTAAAAACATCACAAAAAACCCACAAAAAAATTCCTAAAAAAATACCCAAAAAACTCCAAAAAAATTGAAAAAAAAATCCTAAAAAATCCCAAAAAACTCCAAAAAAATCCTAAAAAAATCACAAAAAAAGCACAAAAAAATTCCTAAAAAAAATCACTAAAAAACTCCAAAAAAATCAAAAAAATTCCCCAAAAAATCACAAAAAAATTCCAAATAATTCTCCAAAAAATCCCCAAAAAATTCCTAAAAAAATCCCAAAAAATCTCCAAAAATCCCCAAAATCCCCCAAAATCCCCAAAATTCCCAAAAAAATCCCAAAACTTCCCTCAAATCCCGAAATTCCCCCAAATAATCCCCATTTTCCCTCCTGCAGGCGGCTCTGCGCTTCCTGGGCGTGGCGCTGGGCGTGGCCGGCCCCGCCCTGATCCCAAAATCGCCTCAAAAATCCCCAAAAAATTCCCCAAAAACTTTTAAAAAATCCCAAAAAATCCCAAAAAAATTCCTAAAAAAATCCCAAAAAATCCAAAAAAATTCACAAAAAATTCCCAAAAAAAATCCCAAAAAATTCCTAAAAATTTTTAAAAAATCCCCAAATAATTCCTAAAAAAAATCTCCAAATAATTCCTGAAAAATCCCAAAAAATCCCAAAAAATTCCTAAAAAATTCCTAAAAAATCCTTAAAAACTCAAAAAAAATCCTAAAAAAAATCACAAAAAAATTTCCAAAAAATCCAAAAAAAATTCCTAAAAAGTCTCAGAAAAAATCCAAAAAATTCCTTAAAAAAAATCACAAAAAAAATCCAAAAAATTCCCCCAAAAATCCCCAAAAATTCCTAAAAAAATCCCGAAAAACTCAAAAAAAATCCGAAAAAATCCCGAAAAAATCCCAAAAAATTCACAAAAAATTTACAAAAAAATCCCAAAAAATTCCTAAAAAATCCTTAAAAAGTCACCAAAAAAACCCCCAAAAATTCCTTAAAAAATCCCCCAAAACTCAAAAAAAATCCTAAAAAATCACAAAAAAAATCCAAAAAATTCCTAAAAAATCTCAGAAAAAATCCAAAAAATTCCCCAGAAAATCCCCCCAAAATTCCTAAAAAAATCCCGAAAAACTCAAAAAAAATCCTAAAAAAATCCAAAAAAAATCCCAAAAAATCTCCGAAAATCCCCAAAAATCCCCCAAAAATTCCCAAAATTCCCAAAAAAATTCCCAAAATTCCCTCAAATCCCAAAAACCCCCAAATTCCCTCCCAAATAATTCCCATTTTCCCTCCTGCAGGCGGCTCTGCGCTTCCTGGGCGTGGCCCTGGGCGTGGCCGGCCCCGCCCTTTCCGGCCGAGGCTCCGCCCTTTCCGGCCGAGGCTCCGCCCTTTCCGGGCTGTGCCGGGCGGGGCTCGGAGCCCGCGACGATCCCGGGATTCTCGGAGCCGCCCTGGGAGCCCTGGGGGCGCTGGCGGCCGCCCTGGGAGCCAAAAAAACCGTGAGTGACCCCAAATCTGGGGGTTTTCACCCAAAAATTGGGGGTTGGGACACAAAATTTGGAATTTTTGAAACAAAATTTGGGGGTTTTCACCCAAAATTTGGGGGTTTGGACCCAAAATTTGGATTTTTTGACAAAAAATTTGGGGGTTTTGATCCAAAATTTGGAATTTTTGGCCCAAAATTTGGGATTTTTGACCCAAAATTTGGGGTTTTGGACCCAAAATTTTGGATTTTTGATCCAAAATCTGGATTTTTAACCCAAAATTTGGGATTTTTGGCTCAAAATTTGGGACTTTTAAACCAAAATTTGGATTTTTAACCCAAAATTGAGGGGTTTTCAGCCAAAATTTGGGATCTTTAAACCAAAATTTGAGATTTTTGACACAAAATTTGGAGTTTTGGTCACAAAATTTGGATTTTTTGACACAAAATTTGGAATTTTTGACCCAAAACTTGGAATTTTTGACCCAAAATTTGGGGTTTTTGACCCAAATTTGGGATTTTTAACCCAAAATTTGGATTTTTTGACCCAAAATTTGGAATTTTTGATCCAAAATTGAGGGGTTTTGAGCCAAAATTTGGGATTTTTTACCCAAAATTTGGGATTTTTTGACCCAAATTTGGGGATTTTGAGCCAAAATTTGGATTTTTTGGCCCAAAATTTGGGATTTTTGACCCAAAATTTGGGATTTTTGACCCAAAATTTGGAATTTTTGGCCCAAAATTTGGGACTTAAACCAAAATTTGGATTTTTAACCCAAAATTGAGGGGTTTTGAGCCAAAATTTGGATTTTTAACACAAAATTTGGGATTTTTGACCCGAAATTTGCATTTTTTGGACCAAAATTTGTTATTTTTGACAGAAATTTTGGAATTTTTGACCCAAATTTGGACTTTTTGACTCAAGATTTGGAGTTTTTCACCCAAAATTTGGGATTTTTGCCACAAAATTTGGGATTTTTGACCCAAATTTGGGATTTTTGACCCAAAATTTGGATTTTTTGACCCAAATTTGGATTTTTTGACCCAAAATTTGAGATTTTTGACACAAAATTTGTAGTTTTGGACACAAAATTTGGGGTTTTTGACCCAAAATTTGGGATTTTTGACTCAAAACTTGGGTTTTTTTACCCAAATTTGGGGTTTTGTACCCAAAATTTGGATTTTTTAACCAAAAATATGGAATTTTTGACCCAAAATTTGGAATTTTTGACCCACATTTTGGATTTTTTGACCCAAATGTGGGGTTTTTGACCCAAAATTTGGGGTTTTTCACCCAAAATTTGGGATTTTTGACCCAAAATTTGGGGGTTTTGACCCAAATTTGGGATTTTTGACCCAAAATTTGGAATTTTTAACCCAAAATTGAGGGGTTTGGCCCAAAATTTGGGATTTTTGACCCAAAATTTGGGATTTTTGACTCAAAATTTGGGGGTTTTGACCCAAAATTTGGATTTTTTGACTGAAAATTTGGGGTTTTTGATCCAAAATTTGGATTTTTCACCCAAAATTTGGAATTTTTGACCCAAAATTTGGATTTTTAACCCAAAATTGAGGGGTTTTGAGCCAAAATTTGGGATTTTTGACCCAAATTTGGGGTTTTGGACCAAAATTTGAAATTTTTGACCCAAAATTTGGATTTTTTGACCCAAAATTTGGGATTTTTGATCCAAATTTGGGATTTTTAACCAAAATTCACATTTTTGGACACAAATTTTGGGGTTTTTGGAGCAAAATTTGGAGTTTTGGGGTAAAAATTGGTATTTTGACAAAAATTGGAATTTCTTGGGGTAAAAAATGAAAATTTTTGGGTTCAAAATGGGAATTTTTGGGGTTAAAAATGGGAATTTTTTGGGGTAAAAATGGGAATTTTTTGGGGTAAAAAATGAAAATTTTTGGGTTAAAAAATGGGAATTTTGGGTTAAAAATGGGAATTTAAAATGGGAATTTTTTGGGTTAAAAAATGGGAATTTTTGGGTTAAAAAATGAGAATTTTTGGGTTAAAAATGGGAATTTTGGGGTTAAAAAATGGGAATTTTTTGGGTTAAAAAATGGGAATTTTTGGGTTAAAAATGGGAATTTTTTGGGTTAAAAATGGGAATTTTTGGGGTTAAAAATAGGGAATTTTTGGGTTAAAAAATGAGAATTTTGGGGGTAAAAAATGGGAATTTTTGGGTTAAAAATGGGAATTTTGGGGTTAAAAAATGAGAATTTTTGGGTTAAAAATGAGAATTTTTGGGTTAAAAATGGGAATTTTGGGTTAAAAAAATGGGAATTTTGGGTTAAAAATGGGAATTTTTGGGTTAAGAAATGGGAATTTTGGGGTTAAAAAATGGGAATTTTGGGGTTAAAAAATGGGAATTTTTTGGGTTAAAAAAATGAGAATTTTTGAGGCTAAATCCCCAATTTTGGGGAGTTTTTAACCCTTTTTTTTCCATTTTTTTAACCCAAATTTTCCCATTTTTTTTTTTTTTTCCCCAGAAATTCCTTCAATCTCTGGTCCCTGAAATCCTCCAGGCTCTCCAGGATCTCCTGAACATGGATGAGGTAAAATTTTGGGGAAAAAAGGGAAAGATTTGGGAAAAAAATTGGGGAAAAAATGGAAAAAAATTGGAAAAAATCCAAAAAAAATCCAAAAAAAATTGGAAAAAATCCAAAAAAAATCCAAAAAAAATTCAAAAAAATTCCAAATTTAGGGAAAATCCAGGGAAAAATTTATGGCTAAAATGGTGAAATTTGAAGGAAAAAATCTGAAGTTAAAATTCTGGAGAATTTTGGGAAAATTTGGGGTTAAAAATGAGGAAATTTTGGGTCGAATTCCGGGAATTTCCAGGATCGCGGCGCCGACGCTCTGGAAGTCCTGGATGAATTCTTGGAAGCCAATCCTGAATCCATGATCCCACACCTCAGGCCCATGCTGGAGCTTTGCCTTCAGGTAAATCCCAAAAATTGGGAGTTTTCCAGAGGAAATTTGGGAATTTTTAAACCAAAATTTGGGATTTTTGGCCCAAAATGGAATTGGGACACCAGGTCTACCCATTGAAATCAATGGGATGGGAAGGACATCAGGTCTACCCATTGAAACTAATGGGATTGGAGGAACACCAGGTCTACCCATTGAAATCAATGGGATGGGAGGGACATCAGGTCTACCCATTGAAATCAATGGGATTGGAGGGACACCAGGTCTACCCATTGAAATCAATGGGATGAATGGGACATCAGGTCTATCCATTGAAATCAATGGGGATAGAAGGGACACCAGGTCTACCCATTGAAGTCAATGGGAATTGTTAGACATCAGGTCTACCCAATATAGTCAACGGGATTAGAGGGACATCAGGTCTACCCATTGAAGTCAATGGGGATTGAAGGGGCACCAGGTCTACCCATTGAAGTCAATGGGAATTTAGAGACAGCAGCTCTCCCTTCCATCCCCCCCCCAATTCCCAGGATTTTGGGGCAATTCCCAAGGATTTTTTGGGAATTCCCCCCCCTCCCCTGGAGCATTTTTTGGGACTCCCCAGCTGGGATTTCCCCC